GCGGGGAGGGAAGTGGGCGGGGCCAGGGGTTAGAAAAGGGGAGCGGTTTCTTTATTTAAAAAATTTTTAAATTTAAAATGTGCGCCGCAGGTTCCTTGAGAGTTGAGGAGCCGGAGGCAGCTGCCATTCCCAGCCTCGAGGAGCGCCCCGCGCGTCGTCGGCTGTCCCACGGAGGCTGAGGCCGGAGGCCGCGTGTTCCCCGTCAGTCTCCGCGGAAGGGTCCTGAGAAGTGAGTGCCAGAGGCACCGGCCGTCGCCCGATGGCAGCTGGCCAGACCGAGCCCGAGCGGGCCCCTCGGGCTGGAAAGCCTGCCGCCCGCGGTGGCTTCGGGGCCGCTGCCCGGGCGACGTGGATTCCCGGACCGGGAGTTCCCGGATCCGCTGGGTTCCAGGAGGAAGAGCCCACTTCAACTCCTGAGGCTTTTTCACTTTCAGCACGAAGTCAGCTGTGGGTTTCGTGGGCGCAGAACCTGCAGTGCTCAGAGTCGCAGGTCTGCCTTTTGTTTACTCTCAACTCCTAGCTGGAGCCGGGACGTCGTGGGGTCCGGATTGGGCCACGAATGACCCTGCTGATCAGACAGCACTATTCCTTGTCCTGGCAGAGAGCAGCTATGAAAGTACTGTGATTCGATTATCTCATAGCTACTCTCAGTAAAAGAAGGTGGTAAGGCTGTCCTTTTAAACAATGGTGGCTCTTGAACTTTGACATACCATACTCCTTTAGGTAGGACCCAAGAAAGCTTGATGGAGTTCATCTCTATTGTAGCTTCAGAAATCACATCAAGACTTACATAAATCAGTACATCAACCGTTCTAATCACTTCTTTGAAAAATAATAGTCTGAAAAATAAAAAGACTTTTTATCCCAAAACATGTTTTGAGAATTAAATTTGCACAGAATTTGTAAAGTCTTTAGTTGTATTTATAGAGATAGTTTTTTTGTTTTTAACTCAGTATGTCCTTCAAACCCAACTGACAGAGGTCAGGATGTGAAATAAGACCACATAATAACATCCCTGTTTCTTAAGGGGGTAGGAGAGGAAAGAGACAAAGTGTAACATTATGCTGCTATTGTGGCAGAGATAGCTACTGGAATGTTTCATTTCCAAATCTGCAATTTTACTTATTGTTAGAGATAATTTTTCATCAATAAATTAGATGAACTAGTTAAATCCCATATGAAATTATAAAAAAGTTAATTTAATTTTGAATTGATTTACCAGATTGTTAAAAGTGATTTTTAATGGGTGGTGTTGACTGGGAGGTTTTTGGAAAAGTAAATATCATATGCCTGTTTGTTCCATTACATTATGTTATTAAACTTCTTGATTATTTGCCATGATACTCTTAAAGCACACATTTAAAGGGGGAAAAAAGTAATCTGTAAGACCATGTCTCCTTAAAGAATATCTATAGGATTTATTATGAAATGAAAGTAAAGATAAAGCTAATTTAAGAAAAATCAATAAGTAAGCTACATTCTGGTACAGAGAGGTTAAAAGACATTTTAGGATTATAAAATTTAAATGTTTCACATAGCTACTTAAGGATTTGTGTACATGTGTGTGTGTGTGTGTGTGTGTGTGTGTGTGTGTGGTGTGTGTGTGTAAACTAATAGTTCTCTTTGAACATAGTGTTTTCCAGAAGTTTAAAGATCCTACCTTCTTTCATATCTTGTTCTTTAAAAATATAGAACTCAGGAGGCTGAGAGAGGAGGATCACTTAAACTCAGGACTTTTTGAGGCCAGGCTGGGCAACACACTGAGATCTTATCTCTTAACTAACAAAACCAAAACCAACCAACCAACCAAAAACCAAAACAAAACCCTGGTTTAAAAAAAATGTAGAGAATTTATTACACTGATCCATTAGGATGAATTGATAAGAATTCTGATTGTTGCAATAAGTTTGAAATCATGTACAGAGGACTAAAAGTGATACTGCTATATCCAAATTACAAAAGGACATCCAGTTCATAGTTGGTCCACAACAAACTAAAACCCTTCAATAACTAATCAAAATGACAGAATGTGGGATAGACACACAAGTACCTTGCTGGGTGTATATAGATAGTTGTTAGTACAATGGGACCTGACTCACTGGAACTGGAAAGGTGCCTGGAGACCCCAGCGCCAAAGCTGGGGTCTTAATGCAGCTACCCTCTCTTCACACCTGCACCCACAAACCCTAGGTGAGGCTGAGGAAATCCTTGATTATGGCTTCCAGAGCCCCAGCTTGATCATTTGTCCTACATCTGGTACTTCCCTCAAAGATTTCAAATTGCAGCAGATTATGGGAAGTACATTTAGGAAGAACAATGTGGGGGAAAACCCACTAAAAAACCAAGGACTATTTTCACTGATAAAAAAACACTACTTCAGCAAGATCTCATCATTCATAAACATCATACCCTTACACTACTAGGTTATTATCTAACCATATCAGTACCAGATGGTGAATTGTAGTCCCAAGATCCTGAAATCTGAGTTACAGATAGAGATACAGAAAACCTGATTGCCCCATGATACTTATTATATTTAAAATAACAATGATATATTAATCTAAATACTCTTGAGCCAGCGAAAAGAAACTAATACTATTTTGGTAGAAATTAAGGAACTGGCTAGGCTAAGAGAAGTCAACCTTTAGCATTTACGCTGTCAGTCATACAGTGACATTTACTGTTCATTCCCTGCATATATTAGGAACTGGGCGGCCTATATCTTGGCCATCAAGTTTTTCTGGGGTTTAGAAATAGTTTACGTTTTCATCACCAAATTGTTGGAATAATACAAAGTGAAGGAGTCATTTTCAGGTTCTGAAAAGCATCGCTAGAAGTAAATCTCAGTTGTCTAAATAAGTAGTACTTGATCTGTTTCTGTGATTTTCCTGGTGTTCCATTTCTGGAACAATATCATATTAAGAAACCCTTGCAGTGAGACCATTGTGTGATATTATCCAAAAATGAAAAAAAAAAAGGGCAGTGAAAGAGAAGGCAGGCTGAAGAAACTCCAGGACCACTTTATGAGGAGAGTGCAATCTGATGGAGGTGTGCAAAGTCTTAGAGGTGTTTAAGATTTTCACATTTAAGAAAACTTCTGTTAGACTCACTTAGAGTTTGATAGACTATGAAATGATGATGTCCTTCTTTCTTTTCTTTTTCTTTTTCTTTTTTTTAATAATGAAGATTTCCTTGAATCCCATGACTTTTGAAGTCCAGGCAAAATGTACCACTTGTGGAAGAAAAGGGTGCATTTTGAAATAATAATAAATACAATGTCCTTTTATAGCCTGTTTTATTTCATCATGAAATTTGGTTTACAATCTTAGAAAACTAAAATGTTAGTCCTCCATAGGACTTTAGCGTCTATCCTAAATGCTTCCCTGTAAGGCAACATGAGTAGAAATCTGTTAATGACTCCGGTACTTCCTCTTTTTCATATAAGGTATGATACCTCTGGGGATAAAATTAAAGAAATCTACATGGCCTAATTGGAGAGATCAGAAGTAAGCAAATTTTGCCTTTGCTCTAAATATGTTTCATGATTGCTGATGAGTCTTTTAGCCCCTCAGTGTCCCCATTCCTAAAGAGAAATAGTATTGTAGCGAAGAGGCATTCCAGTACAAAGCCTCCAAAACTGTGTGTGTGTGGGGGGGGGGGGGGGATAAGCCACATGGTAGCGCTTTGTTATCTTTGGAAGAAAAGATAACAACTCCAAGGGATGCTGATGGAAGTACCGTTTTCAACACCGTTTGTTAAATTAAAAAAGAAAGCTGTTACTAGCTATTTGTGATTAGTTGTTCTGTCATAGATGAGCTAGCTGTTAGCAGATCTGCAATGGCATATCCTGTGATACAGCGAAGCGTCACTGTGTATTCTTTCTTGTATATCAATTTGCTGTGTTCACAGGTGTGATTATGTATTGCTTACAATGATGGTATGCCTGTAATTTTAAGTTGTAACTTCAGCACTCATGGAAGAACATTGAAAGACATTGCTAATTTCTAGACTTCTGGGTTATGAGTCCTTCTGTCCTTTGTATGTTATTATTATCAGCTTACACTGATTTTTTTTTAAAAAAAACATGTTTGAATGTAGAAACTTGTATGAGTTGAATTTAGATGTGAAGGAGGGTCCAGAT